CTTCAAACATATTGCCATCCAAGATTAGACCAAGTCAGACTTTCTTTTTTAGATTAAGAACACTTGTGGGAAGTGAGAGCCCATCTCCTGTGTGTTACCTATACTGAGGAAGAGAAAGACCTGACCTGTGGACTGTGCACAGAGGGTGCGAGCACAGGATGTGGCTCAGTTTAAGCCACCTAAACCTGGATCAGGAAGGCACGTGCAAGCATTCACTGCTTGCTAGAAGGAGGCAAGTAAGACAGGGGCTGGCGGGTCCAGCGAGTAGGGTTGGCAGGTTTGGGGTGGGGATGGTGGGTCTGTGGTGCGGGTTGGCGGGTCCGCTGAAGGAGGAGAGGGCAGGCTGCCTTGTCCAGGTGTGGGCTGGTTGGAAGGTTATAAATAACAGGGTCAGGGGCATAAAACCAGTACTGTTCTGGGGCTGTGGAGACTGGCTGGGTTTTCCCAGCCTGCAAGCATTCATTAGATCAGATTAGTTTTCGCTAGACCAAGTTAACCCCTTGCGAATCTACCCAGAGACGAGGGACAGCAAACATGTAACCTGCCCCTTAAAATAATTATTCTTTTCCCTTTGTTTTAGTTCATGAAATCCATAAGACAAGAGTCTTAATATTTTTTTTCTTCTTGGCTTTGCTTCATCTGATACCGAGACTTCAGGTGAAACCAATCACTGTGTCTTATGCTCTGGCCTGAAGATGAGCCAGATGTTCTGGGCTGGGAATTCATGTACAGATGGGAAAGGTAAAGCCTACTTCACCGGGAGGCAACAGCTGGCAGAATCATTAAGAAAACAAAGCAGTGTGACTGATATCAGCCTCCAGAAGCAGGTTGAGGACTAGGTCAAACACTGTCCCAAATTTGTCTCCCACTTACACCTGTGCTATCCAGGGAAGTCAGCTTTCTCTTGATTTTACTTCTCTAACAGATGACATTCCCTTTCAGCTTTAGCATTTCTGAATTGATGTTGCTGTCAAAGCCCTTGCAGAAGTAATTTTTTTCTGAGAAGCACATGAACCCATTGTGCATCCTCGAATAACCTAACTTTTTCAAGAGGTCCAGGCAGTGTTGGACATCTTGACAACTATTCAGCTTGCATAAGGGTCTTTATGAGCAAGTTTTTGTTGGAGGAGCACCTGAAAAGTGTGCACGCTCCCTGCTGACACTGTTCGCACGTCTTTTTCTTTCTGAAAAAAATAAGCTGTTCGTTTTGTATGGATTTCTTTGAACCTGTGGCTGTTAGTTATTGCACAGGGAAATGTTAGTTTTTCAGGCCTAAATGTGTGGTTTTACAGGCCTGGCACTCATCCTGCCAATGGAAAGTCTGATCCTATAAAGTTAGACTGGGATTTTCAAAGGGGATCTTTAGTGTCAAAGGGAGTTTTCCCCAAACCCGCTGAAAGGCAGCATTCCAGTTCCTTAAGTCCCAGCCTTAACTGTTAGCAAAACATTTCAAAGCAGCCTAAAAATAGGAAATCAGATAGTCTGCTGTGCTTCTACCATTAACTTGGACAGGTAGGGTTTCCAGGATCCTAAATTAAAATTGTAAGGGTGAAATCCTCTGCTGAAGCAAATGGCACAACTCCTGTTGATTTCAGAGGGGATGAAGGGTCTCTCTGTAAAGTGGAACTGAGTGATGTATTACTTATTTCCTTCCCCCACTATCTCCTTATTTTTCAGTTCTCTAAATCTGTGCAAACTGCTTCCCTTTCAGGGGCATAGGGCAACAAGGCTGACACGAATGGCTCTGGGCCACCTACCCAATTTACAGGACCTCTCAAACAAATATTCTAATAAAAAAATGGGAGAGCCCAGATTCAACACACAAGCCAGAGAATCAATACTGGGCCTCTAGCATGTAAATAAGGCTTGCATTTGGACATTTTAAAAAGGTCATTCCATTTCTACTAAATCCATGAATATTTTTAAAGTCAATCGGCTTTTATGAGACAAATGCATTTTAATGACGTCTTTCTCCCCCGTCAGTCCTACAGCTGCAGTAAACTTTTTCAAAAGATCCCTAGAGTAATTTTTTTCCATGTTTGCTTTGCAGTCTCGTTACTGCGGCAGCTTTCCAAACCAGAGATTATCAGACACACCAATTAGGTGAAAATGGCTTTAGTAAAAATACATAAAAGTGCAGGAACTAAAAACAACAACAGAGCAATTTGTATAGGATTTCCTCTGAAGTAGGCAAAGGTTGCCCAACACACAACCACCTGTGCAACAATAAACATTACCAGTACTTTCCACACCGCCATTCTTCTCTAGTGCCCTTTTTCTAACCTCAGCTCCATCAGCGTGTAACACCTGAGGAACACAGGTGAAGCCTTCCTACTAATTAGCGTCTCAAGCTGGGTAATGAGGAAAGCAGACAACTTTCCTCTCTTTCAGGGAAGTTGTAAGCCTAGCTGTATTTGAAGAGTTGCAAAGTTTTTCCAGTCTACCTCTAATGAGGGCTTGAGTCTTTTTTTTTCCTTCTGGGAGAGAGCCTTATCTCAGGTAGGTCAGTGTTTGAAGGAATTTTTGAGACCTGCTTGAAAATATAACCCTTTTATTGCTTGCATTCAGAGTCTGGCATTCACTACATTAGGAAACCTCTTCATGTGTCCTGAAAGCCTATTAAAGAGATGGTATCAGACCTACAAATCAAACCCAAAGTAATATATGATAAGGTTCTGCAGTGTTATGGGGGAGTCTCTCCATGTCATGTGCAGGGAGGTTGTTTTTTTTTTTTTTGTGGGTGCTGTAGCCTGGCTAAACACAGACTGTATCTCGGACATAGTTTCTAACCTGAAGTTCAATCTGAATTTGCTGAAGATTACAGTTACTTTCGTGCAACCCAGTCCTTCACTTGTAGTCAACATTGCAGTACCCAGACTGCAGAATAGGCAAAAGGGATGGGTTGAGTTTGTTCTCCTATAATTGAAATGCTGCCCAACTGCTTTGTTCTCCAGGGGCAACTTCTCTTCTGAGTTACTAGTGTTAATTGGGGTTCAGCTCATTTATTCATTTTGGCTCAAATTCTGTTTTCTTTCTTTCTTTTTTTTTTTAAAGGAAATGTGTTTTGAAATTCTGTGTGGTGAACTCTGGGTTTTAATCTTGCCTCTAAAGCCCATTGGAGAGTGATGGCATCTACAAACCTTGAACTTGAGCTGAAGTGCAGCAGCATTGCACAGGTATGCAGTAAGAATTGCGTGGTGCAGTGCGAATTTTTTGCCTCACGTTTAGCAGTAATCTCTCTCTAGTGTTATGCAATGTTCCCAGTCATATGTGAAGGACAAAGAAATTGCCAGCTGTGTGTCTGTGGAGCTTTTGTCTCCCTCAAATGATTTTTGAGTTATTCATTTCCCTGTCTGGTCACGTTTGCTGAGAATACACTTTTATTGATTCATAACAGAAAGAAAGGCAAGAGGAGGAGATATAAAGGTCTTGAGTTATAGTTTATTTTAAATATAATAGCAGAATTAATCTGCCAGAAGCTGGTATACTAAGAAGGAATTGGGACGTTTCAAACGTTTCTGGAATACACCCAGAATTCAAAGCGTTGATGTGCCATGGGGGTGTTAAATGGTGGAAGTCTTATTGAACCATGGCATTTACTGTCTAATTTCTATACAAAAGCAATACTTTATTGTACACATTAAGTAATAGTGTACCAGTATTAGTATATGGGACAATAACATTGATCTATATAATCCTGTGAAAGTTGGAAATTTGGACTTAAAGTCTAATGAGAGAATGTTAAATGTGGTAGGTGACTTCTTAGAAAAAGTTTCACCATGTGAGGTGCTCTTTTTTTTTTTGTCTGATGTAATACTTATTTATAAAAGTTACTGACAAAATTATAGCTGTGCAATGTGGCTCTTTGCCTCAGGCACGTGTATCACACCTGTCTTTAGCCTAACTTGAATTCCGGTTGTTTTCATGCTATTAAATTGTTAGGCTGAAGTTGACACAGAAAAGAGACCATCTATTCTGTGCAGCTGTAAATAGGACACCATGAACAAACGTGGAAGCCTAAGGACCTGCTAGGTAAGCAATAGATATCTGTAGAGCTGTGCAATGATTTTAACCTTTGTCCTCCCTTTCTTTTTTCTGTCGTCTTTTGTTTTTGTTGTAAGTTTTCCTATTTGCCTGTTCTATCTTGCCTCAGCTCTCTGGGGAAAGAGGTAGCAATTATACTGTGTCTGCGCAGAGCCCTAGCACAGCGGGGGCCCAATCCTGGCCCAGAACTCTACCCGCTATTGCGACACTAATAACTACAATACTGTAACACCAACAATAAGAATTGTTACTTCTCCCAGCAGCGATGTGACATTATTGGTAGCCTTTAGCTAGTTCTGACAGTCCTAATAATAAAATGATCCTTTGCTGGAGGGAGGGACCCAAATGATAAAGGTTTCCTCCTTGGAAAGACTGCAGCCTGATATTGCTCCTTTTGGAGCAGTCACCCATGAATGACTCTTATGAAGTACAGAAAAAGAAATCCAAAGCAATCTCATTTTGAGGCAAGTGTTTAGTGACCTTTAATTTGGGATGAAGGTGCTCTCTGTAAAATGGAATTGAGTGATGTATTACTTATTTCCTTTCCCCACTATATCACTGTATCTGGAAGGTTGTTTTGGCGAAATTAATATTTATTATAAAAAGGTCATGTTCGTAATAACAGTTGCTTAAATATTCACACAGGTTACCTTACTCTTTCAATCACAGATTACCTTACTCTTTCACAACTGTTGAATTCTTTGCTTCTAAAAATATACCATTCCAGAAATCAAGATTGGGAGTCCTTTTACAATGAACAAACCATTTACAGGCCAGATTCTCAGCTGGCATATATTGCCTCCTTACACTTCAGTAACAGTTTACTGTACCAATGGAGGGTCTGGCTATGTAGGCAGAGCTGGAGAAGTTCTCATTTACTGATCCTAGGTTGAGGGATAATTAGATAATGGTTAACTACTGTGTTGGGTTTTTTTTTCTTCCTATATGTTGTTCATCATGCTCCATCACAACTGTCATTGTGTCTTCTGTTTTATTGCTAGATTTGGTTTAATTTGAGGCTACATTGTGGCTTTAAGTCATTTAGTCTAGTATGGAGACAGCATCCTAGTGACAGGCAAGTGGCGAAGCACTTAAAATCTATTGGCTTTCATAGGACAAGGCCTTGTAGTTGTCTAGATGCCTTGACCTGGGGCAAAATCTATAGCCCTGGGTTAGGCACTTAAATTCCCTTTCCGATGCGTGGGGCGAGTCGTGCATCTCAGACTGGACTCCAAAAGAGCCAATATGATGAGCAGGAAACCACTTAAAGTTTACATGCTCAGCTCCCCCTTAAGCAAATGATGTAGACTATGATGGGTCTTAAACCCTGCTGCTCTCAGAGGTACCAAGAGAAATCTTTCCTTTCCTTGTGATTCACAGCCCTCTAAAGGGAGGCCTTTTCTTAAAAAAAAAAAATAAAAAAAAAAAATTGAGCAGGATTTGCACTCTTTTCTTCTCAATCAGTGAGTATGGTGTTTCCACTGAAGTAGGCAATGGAACGTAGCTCCTGGATATAATAGCTTTTAGTGGATAGAGCATTTCTTGAGCAGGTGGGGGTGGTGCTCTCATCTGGCAAGGTGGAGACTTGAGTTATTGTCTCTTCACAATCCTGCATCCCCCAGAAATAATAGTTTAGTAGCCAGGGCCCGCAGGTGAAGCAAGAGGAGGAATGTCTAGTTTGTGATTCCCAGTGGAGCTTGTGTATGGGGTAGGTACTGAGGTGCACTGCTCAGCACTGACAAGGTTAAGGAGCTTCTGGGCATGACCAGAAGCAGTTCAGGCACTTGGAGAACTTGGATGTTGAATATCTTCCATATCTAGCTGGCAACTGAGGGAAGGGTTTCAGGATCACAGTTTTGTGCTTTGACACTTACATCCTGCCTAATTCTCAATCTAAGTTATTTAAGTCTTGTTTTGGATCTGGTCCTTTAGCAATTTTGATGCTTCACTTTTCTATTTCTCCTGCTGTGCTGGGAAAAGGAGTACAGCTTACATGTAGGAAACAGAGTAGGAGTGAGTATAGAATGGGTCTAAAGCTGTAAAAGGAGCTCCTGGGACAGTGTGAATAGCCCTTCTGTATCTTATCCTCCTGTAAATTGTTTGTGATGGATGTTATTTTAGCTGATATACCAAACCACAGACCCTCCAAACCATGAACTTGTGCTAAGCGGTTCAATCTCTCCAATAATACCCATAGCAGATTTGTGTCCCCTGCGGTTGAAGCGTTTAAGAGGTCCTGTAACATATTTTTGACCAATGGGTTATATTTGCAATCACATGAGCAGCCATGTTGTATTCTTGGAGGCCAGAGACCTTTCAACCAGTGGAGGGAGCGAAGGGAGGTGGTGTTCCACTTTTCCCCCTGAGAGTTTGATGCTGTTGTTACACAACTGGTTACGCCTCATTGTAAGTTGGTTGGATAGGTAATTAACACCTTTAATTTAATTTAATATTGTTGTAAGAAATGTACGTTTTTCTTTAAGGGATCATAGCAGCCTGTATCCAAAATACAGCTCAAGTTACTGCTCAGAAAAGTGTTACCTCTGGGTGGAGGAGTTTTTGTGGTATTGTTCTTGGAAGGTTTGTGTGTCTAAGAAGAAAAAGGTAAGAGGCCAAAAAGGTGGAAGAGGTGAAAAGGCCCCCCAGAATGGAAAAACAAGACTGGGAAGGAAGCACCAGACCCAGCCTGAACAAGCACTGGATGTGTGGATCTCAGAGGAGGCCTGAATAGAGCTTGTGGGGCTGATGGCTGACTGAAAGAAGCTGGGGCCTGTGAGCAAAGATATTGTATCTTGTTAGATTTTTCCACTTTTCTGGGAAATGGGGCGCTCTCTGTTTCTTGTAAATAGGACTGAATCAGAGATACCTGGCTCCAGCACCTTCTAATGGAAACAGTTTGAAGGATCCTAAGCTGCTAACTGCCCAGGTCAAGATGATTAACACTAGTCAATGACAAAGTATACAAGGAGAGAACACTTGACACTGGAGAAGAGAGCCAGGAAATCATTGTTTCAAATACTCTGCTTATTTTGGTGGGAATTATTAATGCTGATAACATGCAAAAAATGGGCAAACTCAGGCATGGCATCAGCGAATTGAACGTAATCACTGTCAAACTTAGCTAGGAAGCCTGTGTAGCAAGCTGCCTACATTGTGATTAAAACTTTAGAGCTCTAGAAATGCATTGCACATCCATACATTTAAAATAGCTTCACTTCAGTCTTACCACTCTTCATTCAAGATACTTGCAGGCTTCTGCATATGCCATTGTATCCATAGATTAATTTATGGCACAGTTACACTCGTGTTCTCTTTGTCTGCTCTGCTCCATCTCTACCGGGGTTGTTTTGATCACAGTTACCCAAGAATGGCCTTTGGCCCAAGTTTACCTCTTCATCCCTATTCTATCCTGGTTCCTGTATCTGTAGCCCTTGAGGATGTTTAAATTGTAGCACAATGCTAACATGGGTCTCGTGCAAGAATTGGAGTTTTGCATTACAGAGCTGTGCTCCTAGCTTCAGGTCTGTAGGGTTTGGTATAATACAAACAATAACATAACAGGATTAACTTGAGCTGATTCAATATTTAGGGTCCAGAATCAAATAATGTCTCAAATGTATTTAAATAGAGTGATGTTAGACATGGGCATGGTCATAACATCAGATTGAAGCCTCCTTGATCCTCGGGGAATTTGGATTCGGGGCAAATTCTAAAATTTGGACTCATCTTTATTTGATATATTTGCATTTGTGTAACAAAAAAAAAAAGTTCTTATCCCTAGACTTTAGTGTTATCTGCACAGCTGCCAAGAGATGGCAGTGAAATGCTGTTTGGTGTACTAGAAAGGAAAGTCTAATGGCCATGACAATCCAGTAACCTTCTGTCATGAATTCTTTTTGGTGTCTGTTCCCAGATTATACAGGGTTTTTAGGAATTTTCCTATATGCTAAAGGTTAGGAAAATAAATGGTGCTGCCTATGTTGTAACACTTTATCCATGTAAGAAAGATAAAAGATCATAATTAATATTGTCTATATGGGTCATGTGGTGGGTTGTTTTTTTTTTTTGTATATTTGTTGTCTACTTTGCTCATTCTCCTTTTGGTTATCAAGAATACTCCTTGTAAGGTTTTTTTAAGATAAGTTGCCATATGTTTAGTGTAGGTTCATTGGCTTTAATGGTGTAACACTGACTTTTGCCCTATTATCACTTAATGTAAAAAAACGGGGAAAGATATTTATTTTTACTAAATATGCATTCAGTTATTCTTGGTCCACCAAGGCCGCAATTGTTAACACTGCTGCCCACATTCTTCTATCAGGCATTTATTACAAATGGAGATTCATGGGTCTAAGTCAAGAACATTTATGGTTCTCACAAATATCAAACTAAACCAGGAAATTGAGTTATTGATGACTACTTGTTGAGCATGATGATACAACATAGGATCATAGGAAAGTAGGGCTGGAAGGTTATCTAGTCCAGCCATCTGCTTAAGGTAAGATCAACCTTGACTAAACCATCCCAGGCAAGTGTCTATCCAACCTGCTTTGGAAAATTTCTGAGATTATATGATTGTATCCCAAATGGTGTATAACAATAATTTGCACAATCATGCCAGTCTCAGTGTTTGCCTCGCCAGTAAATGCAATTTGATTATTGTTAGTCCATAAGGGTAGTTGTATACAGTCTATTAGTTGGATAGATTGATGTTTGGGTATTGACACTGAAAGGTCTTGAAGGACTGGGTCAGAACGTGGTGTTAATTCTTATAATAAATACATGGACAGTTCCCTCTGTTATGTCCCTTACTATTGGCAACTTAGTGCAGGCTAAAAGTTCTACGAATGCCTGGATAGTTGTCTGTCTGTCTGTCTGTCGATTATATAAAATGAACACAAGCTTTTGTGAACACAAGTTTATTTCCACAATCCCCATGTTACAGAGGAAAGGCTGAAATATAAACAGAAAGTCCATTTCTTGACAGT